GTTTACAATCATTAGGCTGAGTAAGAAGGGAGCCAACTACAAGAACATGTATACATTTTAGATATAAGTCAGTGTAGATTTGATATTTCGCAATAGAATGAAGAGAGTAATCATTTAGAGAGAGACAGTGAGAAATACAAAGCAGAGTATTTATTAACCTAGGATAAGTAAAAATAAATGAATATATGAGGAGTAAATAAGTTTGACATGCACACGGTAGCCATGCACCTTTTGCCGCAACGCTTTCAATTTCATCTCTGTTGGACACTTTCATTGATTCGCCTTGTTTTTGAAGTCGCACATAAATATTACCACGAAAAGAGAAAGCAGAAAATATACGCTTCTGCCTCTTCAGCTGCAATGCGAACTGAAGTAGCTCGCGATTATTTTTCGTCAGTCTTTCGTGAATATATATGCGCTCATCTGTATGACGACCGATGTCACGCAGCATGATTCTTCTTTTGTTCTGCTTATAGAATTTTGTCAGGGCCATAAATAGTGGTGAACGATCGCCCGCAGAGACCAGCGTGATGACGATAGGTGAGCTCTGCTTGTTGTTCTTGCTCTGCTTGTCGCTATTGTGCACACGGAATACAGCACGAATGGGGGGCGCATTTGTTTGAACAGCTTTGCAAATATCATTGAATACATCGCTCAGCTTTTCGTCATGAGTTTGCGGTATACCATTAATTATTAAGTCATTAGCAACGGAGATATTATCATATTCTCCAACTCTTGAACTTAATAGATACAACTCTTTCCTGAGATCTGCCACCTGTATACACTCACGCTCTGTTTTCGCTACGCGATCTTCCAGCTTTGTCACTTTCATCTTGACAGTTTGCACATCAGCAGCCATCTCACCAAACCTCTGCATCATTCTATCTTCAAACTCCTTGAGACGTGTTGTCAGCTGACTGACCACACTATCTATCTTTGCTTCAATTCGTAATATCCATGAAGAAGGTGAACTGTCACTGGTTTTCGCATTATTCAGTAGTGCTGGTGTCGTTGGGGGCGATTGGTGGACAATGCGTATGTTCTTAGTTCTCTTGTTCATGTTCGCAGATTAGTAACTGTCTAAAGGCTTCAAGACACGCCAACGGATGGCACTCACAGCTATAGTATGGATAACACCGATAGATGTCGCTCCAGCTAAAGTTTGAATATCACCTGACCCGAGAGTAGATGATAAGGAGCAGCTGATAAAGGAGCAGCTGATGAATGCGATGTGGAAGTAAACACAATAACTGGAACAGCAACAATAATAATCTTTTTGTTTCTGCTGTTTATGCTTGCTTTACGTTGTTTAAAACAAATAAAACAAATTATTATTGGCAAATATTTTGCTTGTTCACTTTCTGCGATCACTTCCTCTATTCAACCACAATAATTTATTAGTCTATTAACTTTTCAGCACTTTTTAGAGATATCAAATAAAAATACTCTCAAGAGCGAAATTACAGGCGACCGCACAGTACGAGATTTCACGATAGTTTGAAGGAAAAAAATCGCCAAAAATCGCCAATGGCGATTTCCTAAATTTTCACGCGTAAATATCCAAAAAAAATCGCCACTCTGGCTTGCATGGTCCATATGGCTTGCATGGTCCATAGTCTTTTGTGAGCTGGTGGAGGAAACCACAGAGCATATTCTGTGTGACTGCCCGCGTATCATAAATAGCAGGCTGATACACCTTGGGGAACGATTGTCTTCTTCATCCACAATTTGAAACATGGCGCCCTCCAAAGTGAATAGCTTCTTAAGCTGAAATTAGTCGAGAACGCAGAACGTATACTTAAACGCAGTCTGTATACGCAGAATTTTGTCGATTACTGGAGCCCTCAGTGTTGCTTACTACACTGTTGCCACTCATCAATGCATTTTCATAAACTTACCCTTTCAACTACAATTTTTTGTGCTATAATATATTTAAGCTAAATATAAACTACTTAGTTTTCAACAAAAACCTTATTCAATAGTAAATTTCAAATATTTTAAACATATTTTGAATAGGAACTTATATCTTTTTTACCATCTGTAAAACTGACGAAGTGGCAACCATCTAAAGAAGGAGAAATCAGCTGACACGGAAAAATCTAAATTCCGAAGATTTCTGCGCTACGGGCTACAACTACAGAAAAACTCTGCGGTGTTGAGTTTTCATTTACATGGCGCTTTGGTAAGACAGATCGTGTCAGCTGACTCGGGTTTACGTACCGGTAGGTTTACGTTCTTGACTAATTTCAGCTTTAAATAGCCTAAGGTTGGAGTGATTACAAATAGGATTAAGCACAATAGATCTTCTCAGGTCGCAGCTCGAGTATCCCCGACGTAATAATAATAATAATAATAATATGTATGTGTATAGAGACAAACATTTATGTAAGTCTGTACAGTAAAATTGTTATACAAAGTTAATTTGTTTTTGTTGTACTAGCTTTGTTTTAGTTTAACTAAATGTTATGTTATCTACATTTTTAATAAGCTTGGCATTGGATAAACAATTTAAAAACTTCAAATATTTTTGGTAGGTTTGGGTTGGTCTTGGTAGGAAATTTTGGTAGGGTAGGAAAAAAAAATTTGTTCGTGGCAACCCTGGTTGCGACTGCTTTATAATAATGCATTCTTATGGCTAATTCACAGAAGTATAGCTATATACCGCTTACCGCTAGAGGGCGTATTAGTATGCCGATTACCACTAGAGAATGTAGTAGTACTTCAATGCTTTATTTAACCCGTTTAGGCCCAGTACTCTACAATTAGAAACCGCTAAATATAAAATTTGGGGAGGATTGGACCACTATAACGTCCAAACCTCACAAAAAATGTGGGCCCAGTCATTAAATGTGATGAAAGTTTTGTTTAATTTTTGTTTCCTCTCAGAAAACAAAGGTTATACTTTAAAATTACGTAGGTGTAAATATTCTCTTTTCTCCCAATGTTTGGTGATATTTTTAGATTGTTCGAAAAATTCTTTTTGCGAAATTATGCGAAAAGAAGCTTAAAATCAAAAATTAATAAAATCGAAAATTACATCTATTGCCAAAGTCGCGCGAAAAGACGCAATTATGTATTAGAAATCTACATGAAATTCTCTAAAATATGCGTCTAATTTCAAGATCTGACGGACGGGTACTCATTTCAAAGTAAATTTTTTTGTTACAAATAATAGGAAAATACCAAATAAATGTTAAATACCTTCACCTGAATATTCCACGACACTTAAATAATTGATTACAATTGAAAAATAAACACTTCCTGATTAGTCGGTAACGCGTCGATTCCAGTATTGTACCGTTTGTGTAAAGGGAGGGTGAGTAAATTATGTGGAATTTTGTATTTATGTCTTTTACTTTTCACTCTCTAAGCCTATTTGGTTTTTTTTTTTTACCAGCCTCTATATAGTCAAAACACTGTGCGCGGTCTTGTTTTTAGGCGATATCATACAGATACATATCAAATATCAAATATGTAGCAATAAAATTTGTTTTCTTAACTTGAAATGTATACTAAGTCAGGTTCTGCAATTCACTTCCGAGTGAATTTCAAAACCTGCCGAATTGAATTCAAAGCCAATCAAATTGAAATTCACTCGGAAGTGAATAGAAGAACCTGACAGATTATGGCGACGGTTTAATGTGTGTATAGAATCGGTATTGGGTACCGAAAAGGAAGTACTGGGTACCGAAATCTTTCTGAAGTATTAAGTACCGCGTATTGGGCTCCGGAAATTCAGCACGTCACTATTTGCCACTGACTGTTCCCAGCGGGGAGCGAAGTTTTTCGAAATTGAAGCTCATCAAGACGTACTTAAGATCTACTATGTCCTAAAAAAGATTAAACGCTTCGGATATCTTACCTATCGAAAACGAGTTTGCCACACAGATTGGCTTATCCAAAACCATCGCAAAATTTGCTCAAGCCAAAGCACACAAAGTAAACTTTTTGTACTTGACATTTGACAATTTTTATTACAACAGAAATGAAAAGTTCTTAATTGTTTGCTGGGTTATGGAGCTACTTCGGCCGATGAAAAAGAGAAACGAAAGTAAATTTTCTTCCCTCCCTCCTACGCGTTTCGACGCTTTGCGTCTTCCCCAGGGAGTCTGTTTTATTAAACAATAAATAAAAACAATAAACATGAATTACAATCACACTATTAACAAACATACGTATAGCAAAAAGGCTTATACACAATTTTTTAACTTACATTTAAATTAAAAACTCAACAGTCATTAGCACAACACATCACATTTCTATAGCTAAGTACTTAATTATGTTGCCTATCTTTTCTAACATAATTTGAATGTTTTCGCTTTATCACAGCCGTGTATGCGTTGTTTGCTTTGTCCACATCGTCTTTAAAATTCATCGCGCTGTCTAAGCTTTGTTGTATACGAAGGCTTTCCAATGTAATTCTCCTTCTTTCTCCTCTTTCTATGTCCAATATTCTTGTGTTGGCGAAGTCAGCTGTGTGTTCGTTTGCAGTCAGGTGTTGAGCCAGGGCTGTTGTCATTCTCTTGTTCCGTTCGTCTGCCTTGTGTTCGCCGATCCTTATACCCAACGCGCGTTTTGTTGTGCCTATGTAGCACTTATTACAGTGGTCATTATTTTTACCTTTACATTTTATTTCATAGACAACATTACTTTGTTGCTCCTTTTCTATTTTATCTTTCGTCTTTGTAAATATTTTGCTTAGAGTGTTGTGTGGCTTGTGCGCATATATTATATTTTCATTTTTTCATTATTCGTCTAAGTACTTGGTTATTTGTTAGCCCCGGGATATAAGTACTTAGCTATAGAAATGTGATGTGTTGTGCTAATGACTGTTGAGTTTTTAATTTAAATGTAAGTTAAAAAATTGTGTATAAGCCTTTTTGCTATACATATGTTTGTTAATAGTATGATTGTAACTCATGTTTATTGTTTTTATTTATTGTTTAATAAAACAGACTCCCTGAGGAAGACGCAAAGCGTCGAAACGCGTAGGAGGGAAGTAAGAAAATTTACTTTCGTTTCTCTTTTTCATCGGCCGAAGTAGCTCCATAACCCAGCAAACAATTAAATAAGGAATTTGGCCCAAAATTATAACTAAAGAAAAATTCTTAATTTTCGACTATTTTTGCAATACATAGATTATTCTATAAAAACATCAATCATTATCATTTTCAAAGGGCGCCTCGTTCCATTTACGCCCCGGGCGTCGTTGCTTCTTAAGCCGGCCCTGGTTGTCACACAAAGGGTTGGGACCAAGGCATATTTAATAAGGTAGAAGTGACAACTAGCTCGAGCTCTCTTGTAGCTAGTTATAATGTCAAAAAACTGTAAACAAACAAATTAACCTTTTGAGGTGCGAGTGCTGTGTTTGCTACAGACTACAGTTGAAACGCATCAGCATAAATACATACATATGTACGTATACTAATTTTAAGAATTATGTAATTCAATATACCTTCAAAGAATTTTAATTGCACTGGCATTTTATATGTACATATACATATGGACAGAAACGAATGCCTCATAAAGGAAACCACGCAAATAAAATGAACGAAATGTTTTATGAAAACAACAATTTCTTTGTTTTTATTCGCCCAATATTTTTGCGCCTTTAGTTTCTGATTTAAATATTTAATTCTAAAAAATATCCCGCATTTATAAAAAAAAATGATTTAATGTTTTCTTGTAAATTTATATGAAGATTAACTCCATTTATGAAATTACAGATATTTTTCCCGCTTAAGTTGTTAAAAATTGCCGGTATCATGTATGGGTCCTTTTACTCAGTTTCTGAACTTCGTATGCTTCAGGCATTTCAGGCACAGGAACCTCCCAGGGCAAGGGAACAGTACCTGGGTATAAACGCATGCGCTTAAAAATATTTGCCTGCAATAATGGGCCAGTAATAAAACCGCGTTGAAATGATTTTCACAGACACGGGAAGAATCTTCCAATTGAACACCGCAGCGGTTCTCCCAACGAGGTCTTCTAACTTCGCAACTAGGCGCTTTAAAGTATCACACCACTTTAACGCATTGGCTCTTGCCACACACAGCGCAACGCTCGTAGTTCCTCCTCCTCTTCATTTTTGCATATGTATCAATAAATGGATGTGGTCGAAATAAAAAAAAATCACACAATTCAAAACTATCTCACAACATGCAATAGAATTGTTAACGAAAAATAGAAAATGCCAACTTGAAAAGGGTTAAAAGTTATTCATCATTTGACATTTAGTCTGTTCCTTTGAACTTCGGACTAAAACCTGTGGAACTGTCAAACTACAATTTTACTCTATCAAGTGAGAGTAAAAGGAGGACAGAAGCAGAAGTGCACGGGAACGCAAAAAGCACTATTTCCTGTAAAAACGTCAGTCGGTTTATTTACATGTAATTTGTACAACACTGATTTGGCTGAAATATCACTAACTAATTATTAAAATCTATACATATTCAAATATTTCGTTGTTTACTTCCATATTTTTACAAATATAAGGTTCTTTGCTTACACCGCTTTCTGATTCTGTTTACACATGCAAATCAGCTGATCGTTTGACACTTTTCATGAACTTACAGGAAAAAAAAACTCCGGACTAAATCCTGTAACTTCTGACTTGGAACAGTTGCTCAGTTACTCTCTCTAAAGTGTTCCCACTTACAGGTTTTATGTCAATAGGACCGACTTCCTATAAGTTCTGACAAAATCCTGTAAACCGGACTGCTATTGGAACAGACTAATTATAGTCGGTGTTCAAAAGAGAGAAATGTCAAAATCACTTCTACCTTATTTAATATGCCTTGGTTGGGACCTATAGTTTTAGGCCGAATCCGAGCGGCAATTATATTTTTATGAAAAGGTGGTTTTCAAGGGAGAAATATACTAGAATAATTTGATGTTAGTCGGTAACTGGGCTCGATTCCAGGCCCTGCGGAATGGTAGTGCGCACTTCTAACCACTACAGCACAGTGGCTGCCAAACCCTATGAAAAAATATTACGCGACAAGTAAATAAAAAACTGTATTTTTTTTTTTTGGAAATTTTCGCTAAAAATAAATTTCCCAAAGAGCATCAAAAGCAAATCACGAAAATGTGGTTTAAAACTATGTATATTGCACACTTTCTTCTTTCATATATAGTAGTCAAAAATCAAGTCGAAGTGGGAACTTGTATGACTACCCATTAATAGCTCGGTTATATAGCTTGGGAAAGAATATATTTACAGACACTTGTATCAAAGTTGATAAATCTGACCTTTGACCAGTTTTGTAACACAAATACTCCTATGTGTGGCGCCCGGGTAACACGACCTAGCGTCGCATCTCCACAGGCAAAAAATATTGGTTACAATTTGTCATTTTGTTTGCCAGATATATGTACGTTTTATCAGTGCACTTGCACAGCATCCGCATTCGCAAAAGCTCCGCATTGATTATTGCGAATGCGAATGCGAATATTCGCAACAATCCTGACACAGACATCCAGTTTGTTTTAAGTTTTTTATTTAAAATTTAAAAACCCCAGGTCTAGATGGATCACCCTATATAAGGAATAATTACCTTTTCTTTTAAAAAGATATAACCCATTTTATGAGTACCTATTTTGAGTAAATCTAACTTTATTTCAATTAGATTATGAGAAAAATTCATTTCAATCTGTTATACAAATCCGCGGAAACTTTTTCGATTGCCATACACATTCATTCATACATTTATTAATCAGAATATTTAATTTTACTAAACATTCATTCGTTTCATTTCCTCTCCGATGTGGTAATATTTTTCGTAAAGCAGATGTTTAAAATCTCAGCCTTTAAAATTATTAATGAATACTTACATATGTGGCTGAAATGCATCAAAGGAAAATCCGGAATACAATGTTGTTGATATTAAATAATAAATAAATACTTGAGAATATTAGCACTTGTCAATATGCTCATATCATGATGGAATGTATTGTAGTCGAAACCCGTCAGAGTAGTATATATTACGAGCATTAATCGATTCTTCTTACGCTTATGCTTATTTTCTACTAACAGAGAACAACAACACAGAGTTCGTGAGCATAAGCCGTTTATTCTAGAAAACCGAGAAAAGAATCGATCCACCAATAAATTTAGAAGGTACGGCCTAGGGATGGGTAAATTCGATATTCCAAGCTTCGAGATTCGCATTTTAATCGAATTTTAGCTTCAAAATGGCGAATTTTTGAAATCGAACTTTGTAGTGCTAAAATTCGGATAAAATCGAATTTTTCTAGAAAAAATCGAATTTCGTCTTTATTTGCAAAAATGCAGCAACTTTCTTCTTTCTGACTAAATTTGGCCTCACTGTGTGTAGCAGCACATTTGCCTTAAATAATAAATAAAAAATTAGTTTCAATATGAGCAATATACAAATATAACAAAATATTTTTTTATTTTAACTTTCATTTCAACATACATAGGCCCTTATTATGAGTTGCATTCGATTTTTGATCTTCGCTGGTTATCGAAGATCGAAAGTGAAATTCGTATTATGAGCTATGCAACCGTGTCGAAATTTTCGTTGAGTATCGAATTTTCTGTCGAACAGAATTTTGCTTTCGATGGGTTAGCGAAGTGTTAGAAAATTGAGAAAAATGTATGATTTTGCATTTGTTTTCTTACTTTTTGGCGGGTAGACACTAATTTTAAAAAAAAATTTTATCAATTTCATGCAGTTTTAACGTCGTGAATACAAAACACAAGCTCGAAAGGCTGTTTTACTTGTGAAGGAAAATCCCAGTACTCAGTTGGCACGATTTCTGAGAACAAATCATAGAGCTGTGGATAGTTTTAAAATATTTTAAATAGATTTGGCTCAAAAACGCCTTTTTAGACAGTCGGAAGTTTTTAGTAAATCTGTAGACAAATTTCTTAAATATATTTTATGTCAAAATATATTGTAAAGACTACACTTAAACTCTCTTTAAACATTTACTACCCCTGGTCAGTTCACTAAACTCTCATCCTCTGACGAATCCTTGAACCCCAGAACTTCGTTGTACTAATTTTTACCATGTTTTTATAAACTTGCTTTCTTTTTTATTTCATTTTAATTTGCACAAATTTACATAAATATGTATAAGCACACTATTTAGTTTGCTCGATTTGTAAACAAAGCTTCTCAGCGGTGAAAAATATGCTATTGTGAACAACATAAACGAGCGAAGTTCACAATAGCGCTATTCTTCATCGAATGAGCGCCATAATACCAAATCAAAATTCGTTCGATCAGCACTTTCGACCACAGTCGAAGATCGAATGTAACTCATAATAGGGACCATAGATTGATTAAAAGAAAAATTCTGATACAAATAAAATATTTCACACAAACCGGGCTGAAATTTTGAAATTCCTGCCCGTATTTTGTTTGTAAGTCAAATATTAGTGGCATTGTGCTACTATGATTGCGCGGCCGAGTTATCTAGTCAACTTATGTACAGTAGTCGAAAAAATCCGCACCAAATTTTGACAAGTTTTAAAATATTATTTTTGTTGTCATTTCATTTTGGTTAGATTTTTATAGTTCATTGTTTAACAACATTCGTATAAATACAAGCTTAAAGGCAATGTCACACGATTGGGTATTCGCCGAAATTTGGTGCAAATTGTAACCGATTGTGGGAATACCCAAATATTTTTCTTTATCCCAATCACGAAAAATAATTTGTTAATATTTTTCAATAGAAGATTGCTGTATTGTACCAATGCTTTGACTACAAAAAATTGTCCCAATTTTTTTATTTTGTACCAATAGCTTAATATAAAAATGCACAAATCTGTACAAATGTACCAATTGAGTGACACTGCCTTAAAAGTTTATGCACTTTAAAAAAAAATCAACAAATCTTCGTAAAAATTTCGAGTTTTTAATTAGTATGCAGTTCTAGCCCATTGAATTCTAGTAAAATAAAGTACAAGTTTCAAATGACTAAACATAACGGTTGATTTTTTAGAATTTTTAAAAAAGCTCGAAATTTTGTACGAATGTTTG